TGTGAAGCACAAAGAGGTAAAGCAGTTGATACATTCCTCTTCTCCCCCTCCCCCTCTTCTCCCCCTCCTCCTCCTCCTCCTCTTCTTCTCCTTCTCCTCCTCCTCTTCCTTCTTCTTCTTGCCTCTTCTTTTTAAATTTCTACTTTTTAAATTCACTGGGTTCTGTATAGCCATTTTCATGCTAGTGTATAATACACTTGGAGCTTTTCTTTGTCTCCCACTGTCCTTGAGTTTCTCTTCTTTTGGTATGACCTTATCTTTTATGCTAAACATGTTTCTTAAATATTTGTGAAAAAAAAACATTTGTGTATCAGGTTAGTTTCTCTTTTGATTTATTTATTCTGATCCTTTTAGAAGAAAAATTCATTATGAAACTGTTTAAGAATATTTATTTCAAGGACCATTTTATATTGGATACATATAATATATAATTTCTTTCTTTCTTTCTTTCTTTCTTTCTTTCTTTCTTTCTTTCTTTCTTTCTTTCTTTCTTTCTTTCTTTCTTTCTTTCTTTCTTTCTTTCTTTCTTTCTTTCTTTCTTTCTTTCTTTCTTTCTTTCTTTCTTTCTTTCTTTCTTTCTTTCTTTCTTTCTTTCTTTCTTTCTTTCTTTCTTTCTTTCTTTCTTTCTTTCTTTCTTTCTTTCTTTCTTTCTTTCTTTCTTTCTTTCTTTCTTTCTTTCTTTCTTTCTTTCTTTCTTTCTTTCTTTCTTTCTTTCTTTCTTTCTTTCTTTCTTTCTTTCTTTCTTTCTTTCTTTCTTTCTTTCTTTCTTTCTTTCTTTCTTTCTTTCTTTCTTTCTTTCTTTCTTTCTTTCTTTCTTTCTTTCTTTCTTTCTTTCTTTCTTTCTTTCTTTCTTTCTTTCTTTCTTTCTTTCTTTCTTTCTTTCTTTCTTTCTTTCTTTCTTTCTTTCTTTCTTTCTTTCTTTCTTTCTTTCTTTCTTTCTTTCTTTCTTTCTTTCTTTCTTTCTTTCTTTCTTTCTTTCTTTCTTTCTTTCTTTCTTTCTTTCTTTCTTTCTTTCTTTCTTTCTTTCTTTCTTTCTTTCTTTCTTTCTTTCTTTCTTTCTTTCTTTCTTTCTTTCTTTCCTTCTTTCTTTCTTTCTTTCTTTCTTTCTTTCTTTCTTTCTTTCTTTCCTCTCTCTCTTGTTCTTTCTTTTTTAATGGGGCATTTTGCTACTCTAACATTCCTCCCTCTGAAGAGGTAACCCTAAAATCTTTTAGGGATTAGATA